AACAGACAGTTTTAAGTGCAAAAGGTGCGAAAGTGCAGAATCACTCCACCGGTCTTGCAACCGAGCGTATCTAAAAAGAAGAAAAAGAAGAAAACCGCACGTTATCAAATCGATATTAATAATCAATTTGTTATCACGAAGGATGGCATTAAGTTTATCGCCAAATTTTCAACTTGTACAAGAAATTTCTCGCGAAAAGTATTACTTTGCGAAACTCAACGTTTAAAAATTCCTTAGGAGAATTTTCTCTCTGCCTTCCTGTGCTATTCTTCTCTCTTTCCTCTTTTCTAAGAAACCAAACACGAAATAGCCATTGCTCGGAAAACAGCAATGATTGATACGCGAGATCATAGCCGTTATGGGCACCCAGGAGCCCCGCATCGATTTTCAAGAATATCTATGAATTTTAATTCGCCACCGCAAGGAGAGAAGAACGCAGTCTTCTCGCAGGCGCAGCGAGCGTAGCGTAATGTAACGAGAGAGAGAGAAGCCCCCCTATTACGTACGCGGCATCAATAATGAATGGGCGAGGCCGCGACGTCACAAATCAGACACAAGCTTCTTATCACGGGCATACAGGCTCGCGGTTTCATTACGGGTTGCACTGAGACACCTTTTCCGATACGTTAACGTTTCCCGATTTCATAATTGTGCGCAATTGCGACGTATGGACGATGTCACATCTGCCGTTCCGCGCTCGCATTCTTCAAGGAGCAAACTCGCGTAATTGCCAAACTGTTCGTTTCGAACGTCGAGCATCGTCTTTTGTGGACGCGCGCGTGCACCGAGAGAGAGACAAAGAGAAAGAGAGAGAGAGAGACGAGCGAAAAATGAAATTGTCCTCGATCGGGTCACCAGGACCGCCGAGGATGCAGTTAGACCGCAACTGAGGATTCACCTCGTGGGGAAAGGGAAATCCAATAGCGCCGGAATTGAATAACTTATCGACAGATGTCGTGGAGCGTGAAGGCACGTTCGGGAACAACTTCCTCCTCTCTCGAGGAACCGCTGCAGATCAGCCTAAGATCGATAGGCTACATCTAGCCGCTCCAGCAGCCAGTGCACGATTTTCACGTTAAAATCTCGACCTTCACCTCCATCCACCCGGTTCTTTCTCTCCTCTCTTTTTCTACACATGACATCCCACTTCTCGAAATATTCTTTCTGTCTTCTTTAGATTCTGCTGTAAGTTGTCTTTTATTTTCTCTAAAAACTTTCTACGCAATTATTTTACTATATAGCTCGTTGATAAACTTCAGATCGATTATCCACTTCGTTGTAAAGTAGTTTATTCCGGTACAAAGCAATCGTCTTTAATTGACTTGAAATAATTGAAAAAGGTTACTCATTAAACGCATAGTATTCTTCAAAGTACAAACAAAAATTGCGTAAAAATCCGATCATAATTTAATATTATTCATCACGCGTCCATTTTCAGCCACAATCATTTTGTCATAATATTCTTCGTGGGATTCTTTTCCAGAATTTGTTCAAAAGTTTAAGTCAATATGTCAGTTTTCAAGAAAAGGATTTTCAACTATTGTTATCCACGCTGCTGATTCTTTCGCTACAATTTAGACTAAAGTTTTAAAGCTTCGTATCTGTATCTTGTCTTATGGAAATACGTGCCATTACAAGTCGACGAACGACAGGTAGTCATACGATACTTTATAGTATTCCAAATATTCGTTTCAATTTCTATATAATCCGATTGTTTTTCCGTTAAGTATTGATCAGTATTACGATTACTACAATTCGAGGGGTAAACCGCTGAGGGCATTGTGGTGTACAGATTTGCGGCATTACTGGGCATTTTTGGGGCAATATTTTGGGTATTAGGCCTTGCTGGGGCATTATAAAGATAAAATAAGGTAAAATAAGTTAAAACAAGATAAATAAGATAAAATAAGATAATAAGATGAAGTAATGCCCACTGGGCATTAGTGGGCATTGGTGTATAAGACGTTTTTTGGGCATTAATTTGGGCATTAGGCCTTGCTAGGGCATTATAAAGATAAAATAAGATAAAGTAATGCCCACTGGGCATTGGTGTCTCTACATATTTTATTTATAATTTAATTTCAGTGTTCTCATACTTCTCATTTTCTCTTATATTTACGTTGCGTTGTTTCTATTGTATTTTCTGTTTCTTCTACCATGCATTTACTTTGCAACAACGAACTCAAACAGTATGTCAGTGTACACGCACTTCGTATATAACCTTATTCATTCCGCCGCATAGATGTATATTAGAGCATATTTTCTTAGACGGCGAATTATAATGATTTCATCTCCTCTCTGTTTGTCTGCCTATCTATTTATGCTTCCATTCGTTTTGTTTTTATTATTTAAAATAGCTTTTCGCATCGCCTCTCTGAAACAACATGAATAACACATAGCGGTGTAAGAGGCACGTAAGAAAAAGAAAGAGAGAGAAAGAGAGAGAAGTATTCGTTTGCATAATTTTTCATCGTTCAAAGTACTTTTTGCCCGCATTGGAATAATATACAGCATTAGATTGGTCCAGACCTTAAATTGGTTGAGAGAGAGGGGGGGGGGAGACGAGGGGAAAACCGCTGATTAGAATCTTGTACACCAATACCCACTAATGCCCAGTGGGCATTACTTTATCTTATTATTTTATTTTATCTTATTAATTTTTTATCTTATTTTATCTTTATAATGCACCAGCAAGGCCTAATGCCCAAAAACTAATGCCTGGTAATGCCCAGTAATGCCCAGCAATGCTGCAAATCTGTACACCACAATGCCCTCAGCGGTTTCCCCCTCGGGGAGCGACACGTCGTTCAAGAAAATTATAATTTTAGTGAGACGTACTACCGTCCTATTGATATACAGCCATTGACTTGACCTTGGATAGGCATTTGAAGGTCGCGTGAAGGTCACCTTCAATTTTTTAAATGGAACCCCCTATTGTTTATTATACTATGTTACTCTACTAATTAATATGAACAACTTTTGTCCGAAACATTTTTTGATTTGCCTAATACTTTTTGTGATATTCAAGAGAAAATTTATAACTTTTTCAACGTTTAGCTTATGATATCTCGATAACTGTTTGTCGGAGGGACTTTTCTCTTTCGAAGCTTCTATCCAAGGTCAAGTCAATGGCACTACTTTATGTCCCCCTTCGATCCAAGCAACTTTTGTTCGAAACGTTTCTTCGTATCTTTCATATTTTTGGAGATATTTGCGTGGATTACTTAAAATGAGACACCCTGCGTACACAACCTTTGTGTAAGAAACAATCGAAGGATACCCATGAAGAATTGAAGAAGGCTAGAGCAGATTGCATTCACACAACAGCGCGAATGTATCGTATTCGCTTTATCTTGTTGAAAAATCGAAGTGCTTGGCGTAGACTTATTTATCAATGCGATAGCGGCAAATCTTCGTTCACAGCATTTCCACGGCTCCCCAAAGCTGAAGAGTCAGCTGGTTTTTCGATTACGCGTAGAGAACACCGATATTTATTTACCAACTTCGTTTTTTTTTTATCGCGAGGATAAGTAAGATCCATCGGCGCCGGCGTTGTTTCGCGTGCGAGACGTTAAAGGGTGATGCATGTAAGCGACACGTTAGGCAGTTTCGACCAGCTTTCGAGGGATTTCGGAAACAACGCTTGCCCGTTGGAATCTGACCCGCGAATACGAGCGAAACGGGTAGTCGGAATATATGGGTCACAGAGAGAGAGAGGAAGAGCCTGCAGAGCGTGCTACCTGCATGTGAGCTCGCGCGCTAACCCAGGGCATAGTTCAGGCGGACCTTGGACCAGTAACCCATATAATGTGCGCACGCGGAAGCGACACCGAGTGTCCTTCGCATACGCCGATAAGCAGCCTCGATCCAGGCTTTATTTTACCGCCCGAGAGAAATTTGACTTTCCGTTCTCGCGCATGTCTCCCGCCCTAAATCCACGCACGTTCATTTTCTGAGATACGCTGACGCACACGATAGAACCCCCTCCCTGCCCCTCCCCCCCTCTCCCTTTCTTTCTCTCTGTACTGGTGTTGTTATCGGATCGGTTTTACGTCATGAAAATTATCAGAATAGAGATGGAGAAAGTAACGGGAATCCCACTGCGTAATAAAAATTGTACAAATGATATAGAGACGTAAATAAATAAAAAGAAAACGGCTATTTAGGGAGAATACGAATGCAATTAAAGATGCATAAATGTGTGCAATGCATTAATATATGTGGGAAAAGAAGAAAAAGGGTGAGCGAATATCAAAGATTCAATCCGCTTTTAGATAATTTTAAATAATTCGGATATAAAATGCATCAGGGATATATAATGAATAATCCTTCTATCGTCTTTTTACACACGTTAAACATCGATTGAATTGTATTCTTTATTTATTTACTGTTTACGACAATCACATAGTTATTTTTATCATACAATTAATATTTCACTGAAGAAAATTGAGAGCCCCTGTTCTCAGTCTTTTCATTTTTAACATCTGAAATGGTGGTATGTTAGAACTGCACATAATATTGGTTCACGAAGATAATTGTGTTGCAGCGACATTTCATTAATAAGCCTGGAGTAACACGGAGAAACAATTAGAACTTTCATTGGACCTCGTATATTCTGAACTTTAAATAATTTCTTTATTATATATTAAAGTTCAAGCCTAGCGGATTAAACGCGGAAGATATTTTAAACATTCAGCGAGATTGAGAGAGCGTTTGAGCAAGCCCGTTTCTGTGGCGCTCATCAAATCCGGCGAATTCTTACCCGGGAGGTAAGAATTCTCAGCGAGAGTTTTAATGGAGACTGACCCGAGTTATGCAGAAGTTTAGAGTAATTGCGAACCGACGAACTAACAACGCGTAACCGGATGCAAATAAGGCACAGTCGAGGGAGTTACAATTCGAGTGGAATTCCTATTTAAAGAGAGGACAATTTGTACCGTTACATATTTATACTATCAGCAGGATTGTACCGTGAGGAAAGGCACGAAAGTGCGGCAGTATTTCATGACTTAACGATTCTTTTTATTAATCGGCTTAACATTGATAAAATTAACTCGCCACGTATATTTAAGATACTCAAGAAGACTAACTAATCTAAAAAACTAAAAACTACAATTTACATCTCACACGTATCGTGTATCTGTCGATACGGCGGACTTTGCATTTCCGCTATATCTACCAGTATTTCATAGTATTTATGGACTTTCCGAGGACATTTATCTTTGTTGTCCCTTTCTTCGGATCATTGATCAGAATTTCCCTCTCTTCTTCGTTCCTGAAGGAAACAAAAGTCCAATAAATATGTGAAATTTTCATCGCATTGCACCGCATGAGATATCGTGCGGTATGTGATAATTCGCAAATTTATATCCTATTTGTGTCTTATCGGAATAATATGCCAGAATAAACTCACAGATTTAAAATCACTAATACGACGCCACCGTCGGGCGTGGAAAACGCAACATTTGGTATACCGTCGGTATTGTCTGATGTCGTGCCGATTCTCACGCTGTTAGGTGGGACATACCTGTTCAAGGAAAACATTTAATTAAAAATACGTTGGCCGAACGCTGTAAATAAATATTAAACATAACTATGTCAGACGTTATCAATGTTTTGCATCACTGATACTTTGCGTCGCGAGTAACGAGCTACAAAAATGTGATGTACGGACTTTGAAAAGTGTCCAAGAACGTAAAACATCGGTTGCTTGTAGAATTCATTGGCAGTGCTGTTGACTATTATCGGGGAATCAACTGTATTGTTGATCCAGTTAGGTCCGCCACTCGTGCTTAGAGCAATGTTCCAGTCGATCCAAGCGGATACCCAATGCGACATGTTCTCGATGATATTCGCTGCATACACCTCACCTCGTTTCCATGAACCGAGAATTACGTGTTTGTCTGTAAATAATCATCCTCCGTTAAAGATATGCGTATCATGATTCGTTCCGTATTTGTCCTGTAAAAATCATTAGCTTTTGATCCGTAAATAGTTGCCGGTGTAAATCCCCAAACATGTCGAATTAATTGATTCTTCTTCGTTTTGGTGTTACAGAACATGACTAAACAAGGAATTCTTATAAACAATAGAGTTAAAGTAAGGCCCCCAAATAGAACTAAACAACATACGAGAAAATGCCTAATGCGGGTCCAAGGCAAGATGTAGGTAGCCCACACTTGTAATTTTTAATTGAATTTAATTTAATTGAATGAATTCACATTTTGTAAAAATTACAAGTGTGGGCTACCTACATCTTGCCTTGGACCCGCATTAGCAAAGAATCATTAAAGATCGACACGTGTTTTTTTATATTTTGTACATGTAAATATGTAGCTAAGTCCCCTATTATGAGATAGGATCTATGGAATAGCGGGGTTTTTGTTAAATTAATAGGCATCATCGGTTGATTCCATCATGAATTTATTGCCCTTGAAGCGAAATCTGTCGAGTGGAAAATTTATTGTTAAATTGTGTAATCGTTGCGAAAAAAGATCTGTGATTGAATTTAGGTGTTGAAAACCTGCTATCTCATATTAGAAACCTTCATAATAGAGGACTTTCCTCTATAAATTGGTTATACAGTATATAAATATTTGTAAACTGTAGACAAAAATTTGAAAAGTATACAACGGAATATAAATAAAAAAAATAAAATATGCAAAAACTAAATTTTTTAAATTTACTTTATTTTCTTGTTGTTTAGACTATTAGTTATTAACAGAGAATTGTTTTGAAGCAAAATAATTTAAAACAATAAAATTCATAAAGCTCCGAGGTAAAATCACAATTCGAAGGAATAAAAGATATAAGAGTCAAGACAGGATGTTAGTGTCTAAGTGATTTTAATTTTTAAATTTCTTGCAAAAACTTTACCTCAGTCAGGGTAAAATAACTTAATAGAAAAAGAAGATAAACAAATCTTTACCAACCTTCGTAAACTCCAGTGCAAGCTTCCGTATATATCAGTGACTTCTCTGGAAAGAGCTGTTTTGTTTCGTCCAAGACACTCGGGCTGACTTCACTATCAAAATAGTAATGGAGTGCGATTCCAGAGACAATATCTCTTGCTGTCTTGTTTTGGAACACCGTTTTTGGCCACTCAGGAAGCGACGGTCTATTATCATCCAATATAAAGATCTTGATGTGCTCGAAATTCTTCGTTTTCAAGGTTGGTGCCAAGTATTCGATGATCCAATCACGCTCTTCCTCGGCTGTCCACGTCATCGCATTGAGATTAACACTTAGCGGAATATACTTGTGATTTTCTGGCTCATTCTGGCACGTCAGACCCCAAAATTCTAAACCATCCCGACGATGAGCCTCGAAATACCTGAAAGTACAACGATTATTTATAACAAGTAATTTCGAATACTTTGGTAAATTTGGTAAATATAATAGATTTGCAACATCAAATTTTGTTGACCGTATCAGGCAATTTTTATGTTTGGGACTCGCTACGTTTCGACCATGGGTTTTGGTCCTTTTCAAGCGATCTGACTG